TCAAATTATATTGAGTGGTTCAAATTCTAAAAGTTTTTATTGGCTCACTATGAAGTTAAAATTTGACTTAATTTGAATATTCAAATTGAATTATTTTCCGTGGACAATATTAAATGATTTCAAAATTGGCATCACAGGGTACTTTGATGTGTAGGCTAACTTTCCGTAACAGTGGCGTTCTTGGGACAACTAGTTAGGCATTACAAGGATCCGTGCTAACCGTGTCGAGTACCCGGTTTGTAAAACTCACGAGTAATTGTATTCCCTATTATAGACCTATATCCGTATTATCCGTTTTCTCAAAAGTATTTGAACGCGGTATGTATAACAGAATTTATGTCTATGCAAAAAACAAAAACTTTTACCCTAACAGTTTGCTTTCCTTAAAAAAATTTTAACATGCAATTATTGAGTTAGTTGACAAAATAACCTTTGGATTTAAAAAAAATCAGTACACACTTGAAATATTTATAGATGTGTCAAAAGAATTTGACACAGTAGATCACTTCATATTTTTAGAAAAGTTAAATTACTATGGTGTAACAAACAAAACATTTACCTGGGTTAAAAACTTACTAACAGAAAACAGCATGTTATCAATCCGATTTCCAGTACATTAAATACTTTGTATGGAGTTCCACAAGGTTCATTTCTCGCCCCTCTCCTATTTCTAATGCATATAAACGACTTCTGTAATATATCTTAAATTCATTTGTGCATGCTGATGATCTTAATTTGTTTATGTCCACTAATGACATTATAATGGAAAAAATATATATAATAATGGAAAAAAGAGCCACAAAGGATACGTGGTTCAAAATCCACCTCTGGGGAAGTTTTAAGACATCGGTTAGGAAGGAGGCTTAAACTTCCTATTAAATGCTCATCCACAGTGCTCTCTGATAAGACCGTAAGGATTTCTTGGGGCACCTAAATAAAATTGAAAAGAAAATTTTACCCAGCTATATGGAGATCTGAATATTGAACTGATGAAAGTAACTAAAGTGTTTAGAGCTAACAAGCTCTCAACAAACCCAGATAAAACTAAATAATCATCACTTTATAAAAAAATACATGAAGAAAACATGCCACTTAAATTACCAGCTCTATTTATAAATGATAAACAAATTAAAAAACAGAATTTTTAAAAATATTTAGGAGTTTTTGTAGATAAAAACATTAATATGTACATTTCAGACTAAAAATTTAGAGTCACACATATATTTGGCAATTTTTTTAATTTTTCTACGTTAGCTTGCACCAGGCTAATCAAAACCCCTCCAGCTCGGTTTTCTGGGAAAAATCTACACTTGATTTGCTTAAAAAATTAATTTTTTTCTTTTTTTGAATGCAGTAATCTCAGAACAACGATAACGATCGGAATATAATTAAATGTTCAAATTTTAAGGAGTTGTTAATTATAAAAGAAGGTAGTACCCGAAGCAGGATCTTGAACAAAAGTATTTTCTTTTGTTGAAATGTTCCCTATGAAAAACTACCCAAGTTTTTGTCAAACTTTTTAGTCAAATTTTTAGTCAAATTTTTGCATACAAATATAAAAGCCATTATAAAAAGATATATAAATATTTAATAATCTTCATGCATTTTATTGACTTTTTATTTTTTTCTTTTTCTTAAAGTTACATTAATTGTTCAAATTTTAAACTGTCACTTAATGTAGATAAAACAAAGTATACTCTATTCCATAAAAAATCACAACAGGAAAACCTTCCCTTAAAATTTCCAGATTTAATTTTAGATGATAAACTAATTGGAAAAAATGAGTCAATACAATTCTTAGGAATTCTTATTGATGAAAATTTATCATGGCTTCCTCACATAAATTATATCCAATCAAAAATTAGTAAAACAATTGGTTTGATGTATCATATTCGTCCATATGTAACATCAGAAAGTCTGAAACTAGTATATTTTGGCCTAATACATTGTTTTATTTACTATTCTAATATTACATGGGCTAGTACTCAACCAACAAAACTTAAAAAAATATTTTCTCTACAAAAACATGCATGCAGACTAATATATATAAAAAAAAATATGAACATGCAAAACCACAAATGAAAGACATGCAAATGATGAGTATATATGAAATTAATATTTACCAACACTTAATTTTTATGTATAAATATAATAACAGCCTGATTTCGAAAACCTTTAATAATAAATTTACGAAAAATGTTAACAATAATTACTCTCTTGGAATAAACCAATGGAATACTTATAAGTTGCCTAGAATTAGAAGCAAGTATTCTGAATATGGAATAGCATACCGTGGACCGAAACTATGGAACACATTTCTAAAAACCAAACATTTAAATACGGTAAAATCATTAAACTCCTTTAAGTTTCAAATAAAAAATGAAATTTTTAAACATTATAAATAATTTTGCAATTTTTTAAAATAAATATCGAATTCCATTATTTTTAGTTTGAAAAAAAAAAGTGTCTTTTTTTTTATATTTAAAACAATGTCAGTATTTTTTAAATGACTATTGTTAAAATTATATTAATACTATTTCCTTTCTTTCTTTAAATGTAAATATTTATGAAAGTTTTTTTTTTATTATATTGGAGTTGTTCAACTGTATTTTTAACAATCATATTCTATTTTAAACTTGTAAAGCCCACATAGGGGCTCTATGAAAAGATTGTGGTGACTTTAGTCATCCGTATTTTCTTTGAGCCCCTGCCTGTTTTTATAAATCAACTTTTTTTTGTATATAAATGTTTCTTTGTAATTATATTTTCTTATTATATAAACAGCAAATATATATAAACTAAAAAAAAAAAAAAAAGTGTAAACCAATTTGTAAAACTTTTAGTTTGATTGAGTACTTTTTAAGCAACAGTTGTTTTACATAACTCACTTTTTGTCCACTTTTTTACTGACTCGGCATTTTAAAACTGTTTATTTTATTTTTTTAGTTTTTTCTTCTTCTTAAAATTACATTTATTGTTCATATTTTAACTTAAAAAATAATTAAAATCAAAAAATATTAAAGATTTTAGTTTTAAAAAAAACCATGAATCCACTTTAAATGTTTTGCTGCAAAATTAAGAAGTTTATCTATTTTATTATCTATTTACATAAAATGTTTTATTGGTTCTGTATAAAAAAAGTAAAGTTTCATACTTTAAAAAAAATAAATTATTGGCCTGGACGTACCAGATTTTGAAATCATCTTTTCGTTATTTTGAATTTCTGCAAACGGAACTCTCCGGGCTAAATATTCAATCCGTAGAAACAACCATAATGTTAAAAAATCTTTTAAAAGGACGTTATGATAAGCATGCTACTTTCTACCTATATAGCAAATTGCTACCCGTAAACTTCTAGACAAGTTGACACAATATAACTGTCAATAAGACACTCTTTTAAAACAAAATTACTTTCCTCCATGGCTTAAAAATCAGCTATTTGCCACAGTTGTTACTGTCAAGTTTAGCATTGTTTTTTTTTTTTTTTTTTTTTTTTAATATAATAAATAGTTTTATCACGGAGGATTATTCTATATATAGAGGATTTATAAAATTTTATTCTCATTCCGATAAAAAAAGAAAGTACAAGCATAACAAGATTAAACCTATTTAATTTATTTATCATACAATATATCATAAGGAAAATGAAGTTCCACCAAAGTACACTGAGTTTACTTGCAGGTCAAGTTCAATAAATGAATGTCGAATTTTCAAAAATATTATATCATAAGATAATTCAAAAAACCTGGGAAAGGTAATTTGTTTAGCTTATATCTAGTGCTTCTGCTCTAATCCCAGGTATAAGCCAGACTAGGTTAGCCTAAGTAGATGCTACTGAATTGGAGCACTAAACATTACAAAAAGTCTGTATTTCTGTAATAAGGGTAAAAATACCCCAAAAGACATAAAGGTTCACTTTTATTAATCTATTTTATTTTGTATATGACCTTGATAAAAAAGCTTTTATCAAGACCTTTACCAATATAAATGGTTTGGTGAGTCATATTTTTTTTATGGCTAAACATACCTTGAGTAAGCTAAATTGTTCACCTGTACCACAAGTGAACAGTTTAGTTTACCAAAGTTGAGTACAGCTTTTTATAAAACTCATTAAAATTCTTTAGAAATAAATAATTTAAATTGGTAAGGTCTTCACCTTTTTTAAGTAAAACTTTTTACGCTTAAAAAAAGGGATGAAAAAAAGGTGAAGGTAGAAGCCCTTACCAATATAAAATAGTTTTTTTTTTGAAGAATTAAAAGAGTTTTATAACACGTTGTACTCTTGGCCAACTACTAAGTGTGAAGATCTCCCTGATAGTGACTTAGAAAAACTTGTAATAAAAACTTGGATTTATATCTTACTGAAAGCAATTTTAGTCATTACCTTATGTATTGTGTTGATTTCTTACATATTGTTTTAAATTTTTAAAGTTGTGGTTCTGTAAGAGTTCTAATTTATATTACTTCCTTAAAAAATTTTTATTTTTAATTTTAAACATTAAATTTTAACAAAAAAAAAAAATATATTATATAAATTATCTAAGTGCACTGAGATGTTAATCTTGCTTGCATATTTTAGAAATATATTACAAAAGTCCTGTATATTTATAGAAGAATATATAAAGTTTTTTTAGTTTTCTCAAAGTGGGTTACGAATATATCCGCACCGTTAAAAAACACCGATTCAGTTATGCTCGCAAAATTATGCATAAGTTTTTAAAATTTTTTTCTGTAACCTTAAAATCTTAACAAACTTATTTAGTGATTTAAAATATTTTATTCAAAAACTTAATAAATAAATTTTAAAATATTTTATTCAATAACTTATTTACTTAAATATTTAAAAACGTAATAACAAGAACTTTTATCAATATTAATATTATTAATTTTTCTTATTAGAATAAATAAATTAGAAATATCTAGCAAGCCTACTTTAAGATCTTTTATATAATAGAATCTTTATTCTTTGATGAACGATTAAACAAAAATAAAAAAACACATAAAAAAGATATTTTAAACTTTTATAAACTAAAATCCAAAAGACATTTAGTATCTAATGATTTCATAATTTTTAACATTAAATTTATTTCAGATTCAATAAGTATTTTTGCAACAACAATAGGTGATGTTTGGTGCGGCAATGTTAAACAATGTAAACTTCTTAAACATCTTCTATGTTCTTCAATCATTAAACCAAGAACTTTTCTTTTAAAACCTTCAATAATGCATGAACCAACACAAGGTTTGATATTAAAATTTTTATAAAAACTTAGAGAGAGTATGTCGCTTTGAGAGGGTGTGTTGCTTTCTTTAAAATGAGCAACAGCCTCGAAAACCCAGCTGAAACCATCAGTAGCAAGATACAATTTATTAAAATCCAAAATATCTATAGATCCATTCGTTGAATTAAAATGATTATAAAGAATATCTGATGGAATAGGTATAGTATCGTTCATATTAAATGGCAAAACAAAACCATATTCACAAAACAACTTTCTATTACTGTGTGGGCCATAATTTATAAAGAGCTGAGAGCCAGGTGTGTAAATGTCATTGGTGTGAACTTCATAATGTTTTGTACTTTTATTAAAGCCTGCTACAACCTGAATATAAAAAAAAAAAATAGTAAAAGCATAAACAAATAATACACTTAGTAAATACGTACTTAAACACTAAATATTTATAGTATATATTAATTATTTATAGTAAATTCTCATAGTGACTTGATATATGCATGCACAATAAATAAAAAAATAAAAGCCATAATATTAAAAAAAGCACAACTAAATTGTTAATTGGTAGGTTGTTAATATTTGGAATAACTTGCCGTCTGACGTTGTGAATGCCAAAAATATAAAGAGCTTCAAAATTAAAATTAACTCTACCGACTTTGAAAAATACTGTTCCAGCTAACTGGTTTTTGTTTTATAATTATAGTCTTATATATAATTGTATTATATATTTTAAATTATCTAGCATATGTATTGCATATGTATTTAAATTATCTAGCATATGTATAAAAAAAAAAAATAAAAAAAAAAAAATAGCCTCCTCGACTGTAGTGGCCCCCTCGGGCCTTGGGAAGGTAAATAAAAAAAAAAAATGTATTATGTGATTGTAAGGCACGTTGTCAGAGTCCTTCATATTTTATGGACCTGCGTGTCCTTTAGAACATGTATCACTGTTCTAATAAATTTTAATCTAATCTAAATTTAGATAAAAAATAAAACATGCCTATAAAATTATATATTTAATATGAAGTATTTTGTTATCAATTTATATTTTCATCATCACACTATAACAAAATAATTTTTATATTGGGAAATTAAATTAGTAGTAGAAAATTTTAATAAAAAACAATTAAAAAAGGTACTCTAACAATGACATAAGCAGATAAGAATAAAAGCAAGGTAGAAGTTAAAGTAGAGCAAAGTATAAGCAAAGTAGAATTTACAAAATTTACAAAGATTTTTTTGGTTATCAAGATGCAACTTCATGATGAATGTTTGGAAAGTTCATTTCATCCACTTTAATACACTTTACTAAACAGTTATTTTACATACTAGAATTGAATTTGTTTTTGGTTTGAATATAATTTCACTATCAAGTAAACCTGGATAGAAGAATAAAATACCTATATTTTTATAAACGACAAGTAAAATTTAAATTTATTATTAAGTAAAATATTGAAGTAAACTTTACTTTTTCGTCACCTCTAACTAAAATTTTAATTTACTATTTTACTAATTACTAAAATTATATATTTAAAAATTTTTTTACAATTTTTATGTTTAAGTATTTTCAAAACTTCCTTTCATTCTAATTAAACAGATTTCCATACAAATTAACCAATTATTAAAGATTTAAATCACTCCAGCTGTTGCTAAAGTCATATCTTAGTTAAACTCTTCTACAACTTGTTGTCCAGACTATATTCCTGTCATAGTCTAACACAATTGTTCACCAGAACTCTCTTCAATTTTCTCTAAATTATTTAATAGGTATTTGACTGAGTCTTGTTTCCCTGCTTGTTGGAAAATGGCATCTGTTGTTCCATTTTTCAAAAACAGCAGTGAACACTCTGACCCCTCCAATTATCGTCTGATTAATCTTCTTTCTGTTATTAGCAAGGTCTTTAAGTCTTTGATAAACAAATTTCTCACATCCCATTTTGAGTCAAATAACTTACTGTCAGACAACTAATACAGTTTTCGATTCTCTCGCTCTACAACTGAATAGCTAACTGCTGTGACAAAAAGATTTTATCGTGTATTAGATGGAGGCAGGAGGGTAAGAGCTATTGCTCTTGACAAATCTAAAGCTGTCAACAAAGTTTGGCATGCTGGTCACTATAAGCTTGCTTCTTATAGTGTTTCTTATCTACATCGACCCTTGGAATTAGGAAAAATGAAAAATGGCAATAATTTGCTGACCTCAATCTTTTAGAGGTCAGCATCAGGTCGGCAAAAAAAAATTGATACTAAGGTCTAACTATAAAACATAGAAACGAGGTTGGCAATATTTGCCGACCTCAAACACTTTTAGATCAGCAGTTAGGTCGGCATTGCCAAATGCCGACCCTAATTCCGAGGGTTGCTGCATTAATGATCTTCCTGACAACCTTGTTGGAAGTGAAGATGTATATAAAAAAATTTAAAGTTTTTTTAATATACATCTTCACTTCCAACAAGGCTGCAAGCAGACACTATTAGAGTTGGAAGTTCCTGGAAGAGAAAAGATGAAGTTTATAAAGCAAAACAAAAATTAACAGACAACTTAAAAGATTGCAAATTATATCAACCAGAAAAACAAAATAAAGGAAGCAAATTCAAGAGAACTGATGTTTGAGGTAAATAAATAGACGAATAAGATTTTTTGGATCAGGTAGGAACGGTCACAGTAAAAAGATAAGACTTTTTGATGAGTAACATTAGAATAAATTTTAGTAGATGATACAAGAGACACTAGCTCATTAGAGCAGCGCCCATTATAACATTTATAGAAAAGAGAAAGAAAAGCATTATGATGATGTAACAATGACTGAAGGTTGGCTGCAAGAGCAGGTACAACTATGTTTAAAATTCATTTTTGCATCTTGTCTAAAAAAGAAAAAAGGCATCATTCAAAGATCCACTCCAGATGTGGCAACAATATTCCATACAAGGATGGATTAGAGATTTATAGAGATAGAGAATAGAATCAGGAGTAAGAAAGTGGTGAGCATGATAAAAAAATGCAACCTTAGCAGATGATAATTTTGCAATGAATTTGATATATAGTTTCCAAGAAAGATCGGAAATAATAGATAATCCTAAAAGACAAAGGGTAGATGACTCATCGAGTACATTACTTTTTAAATAATTATAAGTGAAAATAAATAATTATAAGTGAAATATAGCCAATAAAAAACAATCAATTATGCAAACATTTTGTATGATGATACTTCGGTTTAATTGACACAATGAAAAATAATCTGCATCCATTTTAAAGTCATCATTATTAAACCAAACAAAACTACCCCATTTTGGTATATAAATGCACACATGTTGAAAAAAGAGACAATATTTAATGTTAATATTTATTTTTTTAAATTTTTATTAAATTGATTATTTTTGTATGCTTATTTTGTAAAAATAATACGTTAAATTTTTTTCTTAAAAAAAAAAAAGTCAAAATTAAAAAAAAAAAAAATATTTATTTGGAGTTTAAAATTATTTTTAAGATGTAAAAAGTAGTAGTTTTTGTAAAGTACATCCTTGAGCATAAATATGTATTTAAAAAAAACAAACATGTGTTTAAAAAACATATACTCCTTTAGCAAAACTTAAACATTAAAACTTAAATGATTGCCAAAAATTAGTGCTACACTGAGATAGAAAGTTGTTTCCAGCACTCACCGGTGTTGTACAGTTAAATGGATCGACAAAAACAGTAATTTTTATACAAGCAAGGAACAATTATTGGGAGTCCCTGAAAGTAAATTAGAGGCTCAAAAACGTGTCCACTATATATTCATGATTAAATAAATTTAATCTTAATTTAAAAATTAAAAATAAAAAAATTCACAAGCATAAAACTGAAGGCACTTACATTAGCTGTGTCATTATGATTCAATAGATCCAAAACAGGTGCTAAAGCAAAATCAACATTAATAGATGAAATATTTTTGAAGCACTTTAAGTGCTTTGCATTAAAATACACTGATCTAGTATTAATAACATTCCAAGCCCATTTAACTTCACTATCTATACAACTTAAGTCATTTGCAATTAGACTATGTATACAAGAAATATGCTTAATGGCATTTAAAATCTGTCTGTTTTGTAAACCAGTTTCTTCTTGTATAAAATTTGGACATAACTGCATTTCATCTTGACTAATATAAGAAGGTGTGCTAAAATTCTCTGGTAATGTGTTTAAGTAATGAAAAAAATACGAATTTTCACCTTTCTTTTTTTCAATTAATAAAAACAGTATAAATAAATATTTTTGACATATTGATGGATGATTCCGAAAAATAAAATTTAAATCATTGTTTTCCAAAATAGTGTCAAAAGTTATAAGAAGATTTAAAGGCAGTGCTATAATCAAATCTCCTGGACTTACAGATTTAGTAGTTTTCAAACCTCTTCCTGTTTTTTTAAAAACCTTTGGAGTGACTGCTTTTAGAACTAAGCCATTATTTAGTGACCAAGAAAATAGCCCAGCATACGAAATAGTTCGAATTTGCTTGTTAATTCGCGCATTTTTTCGTTTTCTCCATGTTCTTCCTTTCGAAGGACTTCTGGGGTAGTCCATCAGGTCGAATCTTTTTAGGGATTTTTTACAATTGCTGTTGTTGATTCTATTTTTAGCTCAAACCACTTTGTATAATCATTTGTGGTGATAATATTACTTGTTTATAAAATATAATAACAAATTTGTAATATTTTGACAAAATTTTCGTTTACAAATAATTTGTCAAATTAATCATTTTTGACATACGAAGAAAACAAAAACAGTTAGCAGGTTACAACTGATCTTGGGTTTTTTAAATACTTAATTTAATTAGCAAAAAATTTATATATATGGATGCTATATACCGTGAATGCAATATATTGCTTTCTTACGGTATATAGAAAAGTTATATTTAAGAGTTATATATTTTTTTAATTGGTTATTTTAGGTGCCCCAAGAAGTCGTAACGGTCTTGTCACAGAACACCGCGGAAGTGCATTTAACCAGTTAAAGTTCACCCCTCCTTCCTTACCGTGGCGCGAAATATGTCCAAAGCTCGTTTCGAACTTAGATCTTCTGCTTATAAAGCAAGCGCTCTAACCACTGCGCCACGACCGCATAGATGATTAGTTGAAATGCAGGTGTCTAAGAAATTAAGTTGATCTTGATCATTTTGGTAATCGCATGTGTATTGAATAGCTTTGTCCAGCAGCGGATCCGGAATGGAGGTTACTAAGGGGAGGGTTGGGGATGGGTATCCCCCTCCTAAAAATTTATGTGAGACAGGCATATAAATTATTATAAAATAGGTTTACTAATATCAGTTGAATACAAATTAATAAACACTAGTTTACAAGTTCATTAACACCAGTTGAAAGTTGATTAACATCAGTTGACTACAGTGTACAAGTTCATAAACACAGTAGACTACATTTAGTTTATAAACAAGCTTATAAACACCAGTTGACTGCAGGTTCATAATCACAGGGCACTTTATTATAACACAAAATCTAATTTGCGTGTGCTCAAGACAAAATCATTGATAACCATGTCTGAGTCAATATTAATTTTTGAATGAATGTACATAGGGGCAAGACCATTTAAGCCATCATTAACCATAGAAGATCGTATTCTTGATTTTAAAAGCTACAGAGCGTTGAAGCAACGTTCTGGTTCACAAGATGGTACAGGAAGAGTGATTGCAATTTGTAAAGTAATATACATTATAGGAAATCTTTCATTTGGTATTTCACCAAACAACTTTCGAAGACTATTGTGTTTGTTACATAAGTATGAAAGAAAGGTTTTAAAAATGTGAAACTGGTTTACTAGTTCTTCTACTGTACATTTCAGAAACGTGCTATAAAATAAATGAATAGCTTTTAAATCTTGGGACGATGCAAATCCTGTAGCGACTTTAGATAACAGAAGTGCAGTAACAGAATGGTTACAAAATTTCTCAGCTGAACTGTAACAAAACACCATCCAAGTAAAGGAACCATATAACTTTTTTGATGTAGTCTGCAGCATTAAGTTCTTACACATCTGTAAATGTTGTTCGCCCTACACTTCTAGAACTTAAATAGGGTTTTGCGATGTCACATTCGGTCATTTCAGCAAGATGTTCAGCCTGATTGAATGCAGCAAATTCATGGTTTTGCCACTCTGTCTCGTCAGTTCTCCATCGGCCAACTTCAGTAGTAATATCATCCACCAGAGCTACAGCATCATGCAATGCCAAAGAAACTGCTTACAGTTTCTTGGATAGCCATACAGTTAGACTTACAACTTCTTCGCACATGCCAGACTGACTAAGAAAAAAGAGTTACGCAATTCAACAAGTAATGAATAAGCATGTTGTTGTGTCTTTGCATCAAACTTTTGTTTATTGTTTTCATGGATTTTTCTTAAAGCCAGCAATAATGTCACTGGTCAACAAATCTCGAAAGAGAATCGTGACGTTGAATAAATCTGTTGAATGACAATAGTCTATTAATGTACAGGAAAATATTGCTCGTCGCTTGTGAGACTCTTTAATGAAATTGATTACTTCTGAGACTTCATCAAACATATTCCTTATACAAACAACAGCAGAATAATAATTCAGCACGAGATGTAGAAAATTACTAGAACAATGAACGTAGATGGCAGTTGGGCAGATATTTTTGAATAATGCTTGAACACCGCTAACATGACCAGACATTGTTGATGCTCCATCATAACCCTGACTAACACAACAACTAATGTCTAGTACCAAAGTTGTGAGTCTCTGAACCATTTCTTCAAAAATGCGTTTGGCTGCAAAATCTTCAATTTTCCCAAACCCAACAAATTTCCTCTTTAACGATGCCATCTTAGCTAACATATTGAATGCAAATGCACAATTGCTCGTTGTGACAACTATGGTGGTCTCATCATCCAATACAGAGAAAAACTGAGATAGTTTAACCTCACTCACAATCTGCTTTAAGATTAGTTCTCCACAAATGTTAATAAGTACATTTTGGATAGTTTTAGATATGTAAGTTGCATTTTTTTTTTGGTATTTTTTAAATGTTCAACTAATAAAGTGTCCTCTATGTCAATTCTAAAATCCAAAGGGCTATAAAATTACCTTGTTGGCCAGTTAGTGCTTCATCTGTTTGAGTTGGATCAAGATAACCATCATCCCTGTGTCCTCGCAAAGGTAAACCTAAGCGTCCACAAAATTTAATCGTTTTAATAATTGGCTTAAGCCGCTCTCTGTTTTCATAGACCTGAAAATTTACATTCAAGTCAATTAATTTGATGATGTTCTTGGAAGTTCTTGGAAGATTTTGAAATGCATAGGAATTTTTCTGCTCGTTGTTGTGCCGTTTTGCGATATTCGCAGGTGACATGATCGTGTAACTTTGAATGATTTTTTTTATAGCTAATAAATGCTTTGTTCACCAGATTGCCAAATTTTTTTGCTTTTCCACAATTATTTGAAACACTAACCCCTGCAAAGAGGCAGCAGGGTACACAACACACACCTTGCAGCTTGAACGAGTACTTGAACCAACCATTTCCACCAGAAATATGACTCATTGATAAAAATACCTTTAGCTTACTTCTTTGGTAAAAAGGCCATTCAAATGAGCTGCTTGGCATCGCATGAGATGTCAATAATGAAATCCTCTCTGAGTTATCTGTGTAGTTTGCCCATTGACCGAGTCCAGCATCCATTTTCACTGTCCTCAAAAATTATCCCTTTTACCCATTCTGACTGTTCGGCTTTAGGGACTTGAGTTACCGTAGCAATAGGTCTGCATATGGCTGCAAAACTAGTCGGTAGTTTTGCAGAAAAACTCACTTGGTCTTGACTGACGACTGCAGAGTTTATAGGTAACGAACCACTGGGCAAACTCACTTGACTGACGTAATCAAATATTTTAGTTGTAGGACTGGAAAATAAACAAAAAAGAACACGGTGAATACCCTTCTAACATTTTGTAGCATCGCCGCTACTGTAAGTCAGGATTAGATGAGTTCGTGAATTAGTCACTTTATATTTTTAGTTCACTTTTTAATTTTGAATTAGTCACTTTTTATCACACTAATTATTAGTGTAATTGAGTACACGAGTTGCGCGAAGTGTAAAGTTAATTGTCCAATGTCCACACAAAACCCATTTTGTGTGGACATTGGACAACATTAACTTTAGTTACTTTACATAAAGAAATAAAATACAATTGAAAAAAACTTTAACATTTAATAAAAAAACAGTAACCTTTTTCGTTGTCATCTTACGCCTTTTTGCGTTTTCCATAGTATATTAAGATACTAAATACAGGCGATTTTAAAACAAGGCGATTCAAGACACGAATTCCGGAACTTAGCTCACGTGCAAAATGGCAGCCAATTTGATTAAGTTTTAAAACGTCTTACGAAACCACCACAACGCACTCAAAAAAAAAAAAAAATTGAAAGTCTGTTGGGGTAATGCATTACCCACATTACCCCCCCCCCCCCCTGTATCCGCACCTGGCTTTGTCTTGAGAATTTAAAAGTGTCAAAAACAATTTTGCTTTATTAGAGTTAGAAAAACGTGCATAGCAGTCATCAACATATTATTTAAATAGAAAATTTTCTATATACCGCAAGAATGCAATAACGAATTCGTTATTGCATTCTTGCGATATATATAAAAGTTATATTTATGAGTTATATGATTAGTTGAAATGCAGGTGTCAAAGAAATTAAGTTGATCTTGATCATTTTGGTATTTGCATGTGTATTGAATAGCTTTGTCTTGAGAATTTAAAAGTGTCAAAGACAATTTTGCTTTATCAGAGTTAGAAAAACGTGCATAGCAGTCATCAACATATCGTTTAAATGTTATTGGTGCGACATTAATGGTTAATACTTTTTATGCATATTTTGATTTATATGTAAATAAAGTTAGTAACCTTTTTAATAAAAAAATATTTCTTAACCTCTTAAAAAACTCTGGTCCGATTGCATTATAATGGTAGTAATTTCAGAAGATTACTTACAACATATTGAATATAATGTAATTCAACAAGCATTAACCATAAATGTTGCACCAATAACATTTAAACGATATGTTGATGACTGCCATGCACGTTTTTCTAACTCTGATAAAGCAAAATTGTTTTTGACACTTTTAAATTCTCAAGACAAAGTTAGTCAATACAAATGCGAATACCAAAATGATCAAGATCAACTTAATTTCTTAGACACCTGCATTTCAACTAATCATATAACTCGTAAATATAACTTTTCTATATACCGCAAGAATGCAATAACGAATGTACTTGTAAAACCGCAGTCTTGTATATCACCTCTATTGCAATAGTAATATTTAAAGGTTTTCTTGCAAGAGCTTATAAATTATGCACTAGTGATAATATAAAAAATTTATATTTTTATGGAAAATCGATATTCTCAGCAACAACTTCTAGACATTGTAAAACATTAAAAACCATCCCAAACAAAAAACCGCCAACAAATTAACACAAATAATACCATATAACTTCCGTGGGTTCCTAAATTAAACCTTATTCTTAGACGTGAGTTTTGAAAAGTTGGCATAAAAACAGTTTTTCGTTTTAAAAGATCCTTATCGAACATATTATGCCAAAATAAATCAAAGCTACCACCAAATAGTTACCCGGATGTTTACCAACTTGAATCTACATGTAGCGCTTTTTAGGTAGGTGAAACCAGAAAAAAGAAAAAAAAACACGAATAGCTAAACATCAAAAAAACGTGACTGAAGCGAACTGGAAAGCGTCTGGAAATGTAGAACATGCACAACATTGCAAAGATATAATTAATTGGAATAATCCTAAAACACTTTCAGTCATCCCAAATTGTTATACGAGAAAAATTAGGGAGGCAATTGAAATAGACAGATTGCAATGTTGCTATCTAAAAAACTTGCGCTATTATTATTTTGCATAACCACATGACTTTCCGACTGCAAGGATATAACCTATATAATAGCATAAATAAAAATGATTAGCACGGTATCTACAAAATTTCAGACGTGGTAGAAGTACCTTCAAAAAGCAAGTGTTCGTAAAATCACTAACAGTTTTACCTGACAGTATCATTAAAATATATATTTTTTGTCTTTTGTTTTTTTCTTAAACATTTTAGTTAACTGTTCTACAAAAAAATCGTTAACGTTAAGATAATAAAATCATACAATAAGAATCGAGTAAAATATAAAATATTTATACTGGTATTTAATTTCATAAAAAGAATGCGGAGACTTGCAGAAGACCAACAGGTCATGTCATCTAGAACCATCAATTAACAATCTCGATAAATCACAAATCAAATATAGTGTTATATCCCTACAAGGCAGAAAACACGGGTTTCAAATTGGGGGGACGCAATGGTCATTTCTAAAAAAAGTTCTCTATATCTAGAATTTTCTAAAAAAATAGTCCTTTAAAAAAAAAGTGGGGGAGGGGGAATACGTGTTCGTATTGTTTTTGTATGTTTGGCATTTGAACATTAAGTATATTACGAATTGCGCATGATGAGTATTTTACAGATATTGTGTTTTTTCTTATCAGGACGGTCTAGTTTAAACTTATTAGCGTAACTTATATAAATATAGCATAAAAATTGTATTAAACTCCAATTAGCAATATATAAACTGTAATAAACCATTTAATAAAGAGTTTGATTTGTTAATAAGTTTGAACAAAAGTTCTTGTAAAACAAAATAAAATTAACGTCGATTAAAACGATAACGGAAACTAAAGGAAAAAAAGGGACAGCCAAGTCTGATATAATCAACCAGAAAATTACGAGAAATGTAAAAATACAAATAGCAAAAAAGTTACTAATTATAGAAAAATTACTAATTCAACCTGAATCAATACAAATACAAACAAACCGACAGCCTCTAAATGTACTCCCCAAAAAAACATTTTCACAAAGATATACCCATACCAAAGATTACCCATTGAGCTTCGGCAAAAATAACAATTATTATAATATATATTTTTTAGAAAAAAGAAATACATGTTCTAAAGGACACGTAGGTCTATGCAAAAGATGGACACTAACAGTGTGCCCTTACAAAAACTAAAAGTGTACCCTCACAAAAATGTAACAGTGTAACATAATAAACAGTGTTTTTTTAAATTGGATGTGTTAATTTTTTTTTTTAATATAGAAATATTTTTTGAGTGTGCAGCATCCAAATCATTCCAGATGTCAGCAACTCTGTAAGAAAAACTATTCTTTTGAGTGTCTAAGCGACAATATCATTTTCGAATTTTATAAATATGACCGCAAGTGTAGTTATTACTGTCAACATCAAAGAACATGGAACTTTTAATACAATCAAGATTTTAAAAAATTTTAAAACATGTTACTAAGTCTTGTCTTAGGCGCCTATTTTCAAGTGAGTCCAAACCGAGCGGAGGCGGTAATAATAAGTTTTATTTTTAAGGTTCCTACTTTTCTTTGTAATTTTCTTTCAACACTTCCTATTGATTTAATTAATCCAATTCGGTATGGTGACCAAACTGGAGAACAATATTCTAAAAATAGTCTTATATAGGTAGTAAAAGCTCTAACTAGGATAGAAGGCTCGCAAGTTTTAAAACACTTTAAAATTAGGTATGATCTGGAGTTAGCTCGATGTACAACATTTGCAATACGTTTATTGTAGCTAAGATTAGATTCCATCATCACTCCTAAACCATTTGGGTTGGAAGACCAAGCTAAAGCATAATCCCATAGATTAAAGTTACTTTTTATACCTTAGCATAGCGAAGGAGGTGCAATCCTGTATGAGAAACACTCGTTGCTATCAATTTTTAGTTGCCACGTTTCAGTCCAGAGTCCTATTCAGAGTAAGAGCTAAATCTCGGCTCTCGGTCCATGTAACGAAATCTTGGTCCATGTCACGATAAATCATGGTCCATGTCACGATAAATCATGGTCCATGTCACGAAATCTTGGTCCATGCCACGATAAATCATGGTCCATGTCACGATAAATCATGGTCCATGTCACGAAATCTTGGTCCATGTCACGATAAATCATGGTCCATGTCACGATTAATTATGGTCCATGTCACGAAATCTTGGTCCATGTCACGATAAATCATGGTCCATGTCACGATAAATCATGGTCCATGTCACGAAATCTTGGTCCATGCCACGATAAATCATGGTCCATGTCACGATAAATCATGGTCCATGTCACGAAATCTTGGTCCATGTCACGATAAATCATGGTCCATGTCACGATTAATTATGGTCCATGTCACGAAATCTTGGTCCATGTCACGATAAATCATGGTCCATGTCACGATAAATCATGGTCCATGTCACGAAATCTTGGTCCATGCCACGATAAATCATGGTCCATGTCACGATAAATCATGGTCCATGTCACGAAATCTTGGTCCATGTCACGATAAATCATGGTCCATGTCACGATTAATCATGGTCCATGTCACGAAATCTTGGTCCATGTCACGGTAAGAACTATATAACTTGATATTATCCGCAAAAAGTTTTAAAGAACAAATAAGAATGTTTGTTATGTTAGATAAGTCGTTAATATTTCGTAAAAATAATGTTGGTCCTAACACACTACCCTGTGGAATGCCACTAATAATGCGGATTGTAGATTCGCAGTAGCTCCATTTTTAAAAATAGGAGCGACGAAAGCAAGACGCCATTGGTTTG